AGATTTCTGTCTTCTTTCTTATCTTCTGTGGGCCTGTGTCACCAGTGAATGAGGGCCAACTCTCCTGTGAGATACATGCTCAGAAATTTGAAACAAATCTTCAAGGGGTACTAGTTGGTGAAGAGATACCCTGCAATACTAATTTACCATCAGCTTGTATTTAAAATGTCAATGTAGAAATTAAACACTATCTGCAAACAGCAATAGAGAGGAGATTAGTCTTCATATTAAAATGCCAGTTGAGGTTTAAAATTAGCGTTGGAAAATGGACTTCTGCTATTTTTCTTGCTATTGTGTTGGAGTTTAAAAAACTTCCAAAACTTTTTAATTACGGATTCAAAACTCTTAATAATACAAATTTGAAACTAGCAGTGAAACTGACTCCCCAGCTTTAGAAAATGCCTTCTTTGCCCCTACTAAGTAGGTCCAGAGTAAAGTGGCAGCAATTAATAATAATTAAATAATCTGCTTGTTTGTTCATTTGTTTTCTTTTTCAGATTCCACATTTAAGTGAACTCATATGGTATTTGTCTTTGACTTATTTCGCTTAGCATTATTAATACCCTCTAGATATATCCATGTTGTTGCAAATGGCAAAATTTCATTCTTCTTTCTGGCTAATATTTGTGTGTGTGTGTGTGTGTGTGTGTGTACACCACATCTTTATCCATTCATCTGTCAATGGACACTTGGACTGCTTCCATATGTTGGCTATTGTAAATAATACTGCAATAAACATAGGGGCATATATATCTTTTCAAATTAATATTTTTGTTTTCTTTGGGTAGAGATCAGTATAGAGGTTACTCAAAAAATAAAAAATAGAGATATCATATGATGCAATAAGAATATATCTTTTGACAGAATCATAGGCTTTTAATAAGACTTGGCCAGGGAAGTGGAAGCCAAAAGCTATAGATGAAATTCTAGGTATTTTCATCCTTGTTATTTGGGAACTCTATTGCTGATTTCATTTCTGAAACAGTATGTATAAGTATTTCTAGTGTACTTAATGCTTTCTATGAATATAAGCTCCATACTGCTAGCTTGTCCCATGTTCTGATGGGTAAAATATGCTGCCATTGAGATGCCTAGGTGGCTCAGCAGTTGAGCGTCTGCCTTTGACTCAGGGCATGATCCTGAGGTCCCATGATGAAGTCCCGCCTCGGGCTCCCTGTGTGGAGCCTGCTTCTCCCTCTGCCTCTGCCTCTGCGTGTGTGTGTGTGTGTGTGTGTGTGTGTGTGTGTGTCTTTCATGAATAAATAAAATCTTTTTAAAAATGCCTTAAAAAAAAAAAGAATATGAGGGATCCCTTGGTGGCTCAGAGGTTGAGCATCTGCCTTCAGCCCAGAGTGTGATCCTGGAGACCTGGGATCGAGTCCCACGTCGGGCTCCCTGCATGGAGCCTGCTTCTCCCTCCCTGTGTCTCTCATGAATAAATAAAATCTTTAAAAAAAAAACTTTAAAAATGTGCTGCCATATCACCCTTCTTATCCTTTGAGGTCCAGCTTAGAGACCGTCTCCTCCATGAGGCTTGACTGATGCTACAAGAGATGACCTCTCTCTTTTCTGAAATGCCAGACTATGGTTTATCTCCATTTTCTCACATGCCTTTCACATTATGTTCTGGTCTAACAGCCACCATCCCCTTTGTAGTAGCAGTTTCTGTATCTTGGTGTAACTTAAAAGAATACAAAGAGTCAGGGTTAGTATGGTAGACTTTTATGAAGAGGTTTTTTTTTTTTTGCATGATGTCCCTATGCTGGAATGTCAGCCACTGTCACAATGCAAATCTGATTCAGAAAGAGAGTCTCAGAGATTTTCTAGGTTCCAGAATGAGAATAACAGCCTAATTTCCTCCCAATTTTATTACTCTCCCATCCATATAGAATGGAATGAGTTTCTTCACCTGATCTTACTAACTCATGCCCGTGTCTCATTTTGACTCTACACCACCATTGTGAACTTAGCCTTAGAACTTAGTAAAACCAGTTCTTATCTGGGGCTCACAACATTCTAGAGGCACATGTTTGTTGGATTAAGCTATTCTACCTTAATATCTTGAGAGTTTGAGAGGCGAAGGGCATCAAGTTATAAGGTTACTTTTGTTTGTTGTGTTTTATCATTTTGCTGGAATTATCAGTTTTCCTTTTAATCATGATCAAGACACTGCATGATTAACTAGTACTATACCCAAATATGTGCTACCTTTTTTTAAAATAGACTCCACGAAAAAAAAAAAAAATAGACTCCACGGCCAACATGGAACCCAGTGCAGGGTTTGAACTCCCAACCCTGAGATCAAGACCTGAGCTGAGATTAAGAGTCGGACACTTAACCAACTGAGCCACCCAGGCACCCCCATGCTACCTTATTTTATGCTCATTTCTTTCTATTTCTTGATTGTCCTACTAGATTGTAAAGCCTGTGAAAGCAGGAGCCACATCTCACTTGTCTTTGTGACTTCACTGTATTAGGCTTCTAAAAATGTCTGAAGATCAAAGAAAATGAGTAGCTCAACTGGCTTCATGAGGGAAGGACTCGCCTGGGAATCTGAGCACAGCTGAATTGTATAGCCTTGAGCCTGTTACCTCCTTCCTAAAACAAATCCAACTGATAATGTCTCCTTTCCTTCCTATAAGGATATTTTGAGACAAAATTAGGTTGTATGTACCATTTTGGGCCTTTTGGAGATAGAATTAGATAAGGCACCTGCCTCTACTGAGCTGTATAGTTTAGTTAGATGCCATCTTGTGCTAGAGTCCCCTTTCATGTGAAGACGTTCTTACAAGCCTTCTTTTAAAAACTATATAATATTAAGTGATTTAGCCTTTCCAGTGATTTTGAAATGGTTTAGGAGATTACAAATCAAGAATGTATCAGGGGACTAAGTTAATTACCTGTCTCTGCCACCAGACCCTGAAGAAAGTCAGTTCTTTCTCTCGGCTCATTTTTGCCTGCCTCTTCCAACATGTTGTCAGAATACATTTTACTATTGTAGGAAATAAATTCATGAAAATTCAGAGTTCTGAGCAGACTTAGCATCAACAGTTCCTAGCCCATAATAGGGTCTCAGTATTTGTAGAGTAAATTAATGAATTTATGTTTTTCTTTTAAGTGTCTTTCATTAGAATATAAATTTTGTTCTTCTTGTGATATCTCTTTTGTCCCAGGAACTATCAAAACATATTATATACTCCTGAAATCTCCTATTAGAGATTGCATAGCCTCTGAGGGTGCCAGGCCACTGGAGCCATGAGTTTTAAAATTTTAAATGAGTTTCCACTAGCAACTTTCCAGAAAATCTCTACATCACATTATTAGATCACAAGCTTTCATAATCCCCAAATTATGATAATGATAGTGCTTTATTTAAAACTTCATAAGAACACCAGGACTTTTTTTTAATTAATATTTTCTTAACTTTTTACATCCCTATGAGGCAGGAAAGAAGAGAAGGCAGCAGCTGTATCAAAGGGTCCTCCGAGAAAGTAAGTGTAAAGATTTGAGTATCTAAAATATTCTAGTGTGTCATGAAACAAAACCCTTATTTTAGAGAAGAATGTGGGGGTTGGGGAGGAAGAGAGAGAATCCCAAGCAGACTCCATGCCCATTGTGGAGCCCGATGCAGTGCTCAATCCCACGACCTTGAGATCATGACCTGACCCAAAATCAAGAGCCAGATGCTTAATTGAATGAGCCACCCAAGTGCCCCATGAAACAAACCTTTTTGAGGGGCACCTGAGTGGCTCAGTCCACCCCATGTTGAACTCCCTGCTCAGCGGAGAGCCTGCTTCTCCCTTTCCTCCCCACTCGTGTTCTCTTGATATCTCTGTCTCTCTGTCTGTCTCTCTCTCATAAATAAATAAAATCTTAAAAAAAAAGAAACAAACCTTTTTGAGCATAACCAATGTTTGCAGATGGATAAGAAAATTTCAAGGTTGTTTTTAAGTTATATGGCAGTCCTAGATGTAAATCAATACTCAGATGTGATGCTTGCTAACTTTAGTGATGTTGAAATTAACCTTTGCTATCAAATTTGTTTTAGACCACAGAGAAAGAAAAGGCTTTAAAAATTCTATATGACAATTTCTTCCCTGTACATTGAAAGAATATTTATGTTACTCTCTAAATATTTGTAGTAGTATTCTTGGGGAAAAATGCCTGACAGACTACATGTATAGTAAAGTCCATATCAGTATAAGTATTTATTATAGCTGTGAGGTCTTTCTGGCTTTCAAAACTTACATGTTCCCACTTTAAGATTAGATTTTATTTGATGGCTTTTATCAGCATTAGTCATTCTCAATCTTACTATAACTTGAATGTGTTTGGTCATAATGTTCACAGTGATGAAATTCATCAGTATTCTTATAAACTGGACTTTTATATGGAAAATAATTTTTCTTTTTTAAAAAAAGAGAACCTTTTGAATTTTTGTTTCATCAACTACTGGTCAAGTACCAGACATGGGAAATACAGTGAGTATAATGCAATCGTTGTGTTTGCCTTTGTAGAGCTTGTAGACTACCTATGATTGCCAAAAACCATTACACAACTCCAATTGTGATAAATAAAAAAATGAACACCTTCTGATTTATATGAGAGCACTTAGTGGAGGGGCCACCCAGTTTGTGATTGTCAAGAAAGGCTTCCCAGGAAGATGACATAATTTGGGACCTAAAGGGTCCCTAGGCATTAGCCAGCATGTGGGACACACGGGCTAGCGGGCTAGCATTTGCTCAGGCACTAAGGCAGACATGATCCTGATGCTCTTCAGGACCTTACTGAGTGACTGTGTGGCTGATATGGCAGAAGCAAAAAGACTAGGTGAGTCAGGTGAGGCAGGCATTGTATAAGGGCACTTTGGGGGTCTGGGCCTCGGTCAGTGGAGAGCCACTGAAGGGATGAAGGCTCTAGAGTAACATTTGTTGGTTGTCTATTAAATTAAGAACGATCAAGTGACCCTGTACTATGTCACTTTCTTGTGTTTTGATCAGGAATATGATTGGAGAAACTATCAGCCCAGCCAGATGAGTGAATCTGAGTTGCAAATGCTGGCAAGCCTGCGTCGGCAACAGAATGAAGAACTGGAGGACACAGGGGCTTCCCACGGCCTGAGTGCATCCCAGGTGGACAACTGTAACGTCAGCATCAGTACCAGCAGTGATGATACAACCACTTGGAACTCCTGCCTGCCACCTGTGAGTCCAAGACATTGGGTATTTGTTTATTGCCTTAATAAAGGTCAGACTCCTTTCTAACAAAGCCCAGCCTTGCCTGGGAAAACTAGAGCCAGCATGAGAACACTCTCCATGAGAAATCTTGAGAGCCCATTCAGGAGTACTTGGTTGGCTCAGTTGGTAGAGCATGCGACTCTTAATCTTGAGGTTGTAACTCCAAGCTCCACATTGGGTGTAGAGATTACTTAAAAGTAAACTAAAGAAATATTAAAAAAAAAGAAAAGAAAAGAAAAGAAAGAAAGATTCAGGGCCCCATTGTGAAATAGTGTTTTAAATCTGAGGGCATTGTCTTTTCTCAAATTGTCTTTCTTACCTGTATGTTAATTATGGGGTAATATATATATAAACATAAAATGAAAGCAAAAAGGAATAATTTTACTTTCAATTCTGGGTGTCTGACAGCATCCACAGCTTCAAGCTCAGGCCATGGCACATAGAGAGGGCTCGGTATTTGTTAAATGAATGAACAAAAAAGATGTTTTCTCCTCCCTGTGTCTGAGGGCCGTGGTAGGCACTGCAGATGCTTCAGCAGCTTATATTTTCCCCATATGTTTCTACAGTTAAAGCACTTTTATATATGGCCCATCCTCCTCACTATAGACCAGCAGAGGACCTGGATCAGGTCAAAGTCTTTCAGGTGAAGAAACTAAACTATCCTGGGCCCCAGCCATCACATCTGGTGAGAGTAGAGCCCAGAGTAGAGCCCAGTGTTTTGATTCAGTCTGTTTTCTTCACTTCTGTCCTTGGGGATGTTATGGCTGAGTTGGAAAGACAAAGCGGAAACGTTGATAGAACAGTCCCATACAGCTTTAAAAATGTCATAAGTCAATATAGTAGAATCAGTATTTTAATAGTGATAATTAGAGCTACCATTTCCTTGAGTACCTAGGGACATTTTAAGACCTCCATAGGCCTTACTTATAGGAAATTTGCTTATAATTTACTTATACTTACTTATAAGGCCCACATTCAACATCAAATCAAACATATTAAAATATACTTTCATCCAACAGTAAATATCACTTTTTGCTATACAATTTGTGAAAGGAAATATGAAATTGAGTAACTATATTTATATAAAATTATGTAAAGGCTGAGTTCAAACGTAGTTGACAGTGGATAACATATGTTTTAAGTATTTAATTAAATATTTACTAATTTTACAATTTTCTCTCCCAAGAATTTTTTTTTTTCCACGTCTCCAGAATCTTTGTAAATGTTAGAAACCTCAGAGACTCTGGCACTAGGACTTCCATTGTCATCTAACTCAGGCCTTACTGCTGTCTTAGGTGGTAAGTGCTGTTTCTCCAGGTGAGAAAATGGAGATTCTTGAGTGTAGTGATTCAGACTTAGCTTGGCATGACTCCTGAGTCTAAACTTCTCACCATGACAGGGTGACTTCTCAATGTGTGACTTAATTTGCCACATGTGTGCCCGCGATATCCAGTGGATGGTGTCATTTCTGCTCTGGAGAGTACATACATGTCTTTATGGAAGAATTCAGATTGGCTTTAAGGAGATGTAGGGGAAGAATGATGTTTTCATGAGTGTTTTTTATCCCTACTTTGCCACCCTCCAGGCTTCTCTTGCCTTACTTTTTCATTAAACTAAATGATCAAGTATGCACAAGGCCTCCAGCAAGCTTGGTGCCAAAGATTATCTACCCAACCAAAAAAATATCCTGTGCCAGAGTATTCTTGTAGCCAGATCTAAGAACATAAGGCTAAGTTGCAGATTTTTGCAAATGCAGTTTATAATGGAATTGAAATATTGCCTTTCTTATAAAATATTCCTCAGCAGTCATTTAAACGGAAAGTAAGAAAGAGAACAGTGGCCTCCTGAACGAGCTCATTCTGTCATGAAGTAGCTTGGAGACCAACGTGACAAAGGGCAAACTAAGGAATGATTATTTATGGACTGAAAAGGCTGAGCTCTTGGTTGCCCTGGATACCGTGTTCTCATCACTGTCCTGTGCTGGCAAGGACTACAGTCCTCGTGCACAACAACTACTCTGCTCTAAAAGTATATAGCCAAAAATAACACCACTGGTAATGAACTTGATAACCCTTCCATTTGAACAAATGAGAAATAGAAAACAGTCTATTTTTTAGACTGAGAAAATAATTGAAAAGCCCACCTTTGGTATTCATAAGATATGTTTATTATTGTATCAAATTCAGTCTATTTCAATACTGGAACTAGCACCAAATGGAAAATTGCATTTCTTAATGAACTCTGCATCTTGTTGCTCATATAGAGTTTAAATAGAGCAATTTACAAGAACCATTGTGGTCTTTCTGAGAGCTCATGCTTTTCTCTTTAGAAGTTGTGTAGGGAGAGTGAAAAAGAAGAAAGGAACGAACTTGTAAATTTATCACAATGGTATCCTGCTTTTTGTGGATCTCAGTGGCGCTGCCATCCACAGTGGCACATTCCGAGAAATATGGAAGACATCTCACTTCTCCCACACCTTCATTTCCAAATCCAAAGAAACCTCAGGATTTTAGCCCTCCCTACTTAACACCATAACCTTAGCACTTGATTTTTCATCTGCATTCCCTCAGTCTCCCGGTACCTCTGTACCTCCCGTCTGAGCACCTGGTGGTGAGGATCATCTGCTCTGAGGTCAGATTGATATAGAAGAGAGGCCCACATCAAAGAAAGCAATTGTTCCTATCTGTTGGTTTCAGGAATACTTTCACAGAGAAGGAAAACTACAGTTAAGCCAGTGTTCCAGAATGAGTGCAAGCTCATCATGTGGAAAGAGAGGGAAAAGGAATTCCAAGTTCCGAAAAGGAACAGAATTAAATCCATGGAAGTGAGAGTAGAGTCTCTCCTTTCACAAGATAACCTACTTGTTTTTCCATCACCTTGAACCCAGAACTTGAAATGAATCTTTGCTTGTCTTGCCATCATTATCCACCCCTAGCCAACATAGAACAAACGCCCCCATATCCAAGCTACACCGTGCAGCTTACCCGTCACTGCTATGCCCTGTACCCAAATCATGTCAATTGTGTCACTGCTCATCATGCTCTTCCCTCTGCCTGGAAAGACTCTCCATCCCTCTTCTCTACCTGGAACATTCCCTTGTTTTTCCAAGACCCAACTCACATGTCACTGCTTCATGAAACCCTCTCTGACTCTCAACCACCCTGCGCAGAATTATTTCTTCCTTCTGTGAGTTCCCATTATCTTCAATCTCAATGTTAGCGTTTACCACATGAGGGAACCATTGTTAGCAATGTGCCCCAGGCCTGGTTATGAGCTCCTTGAAGGCAGTACCAGTGCCTGGCATGAGGTCACTTTCAGTCACTGATTGTTAGTCATGGATTGAATGAATCAATCAGTAATATTGAAAAGATTCCTTTTTTTATTCTACGATAAGGTAGTTTTCATCAGAATTCCAAAATAGGGACGCCTGAATGTCTCAGCGGTTGAGTATCTGCCTTCAGCTCAGGGCGTGGTCCCGGAGCCTGCATCTCCCTCTGCCTATGTCTCTGCCTTCTCTCTGTGTCTCTCATGAATAAATGGGTAAAATCTTAAAAAAAAAAAAATCCAAAATAAACATCAGCTTTGCTTTGCTTAAATAAACCCTGAATGATGCAGGTAATATTTTACATTCAAGATTTGATAAGTGGATATTAAATATACAGACAAAGGAAAATACAGATGGGGCTTGATGACCAATGGTTTAAAAGGAGATTTAAGCAGGTCACGTTCAATTTAGTATCTTCACCTGAGGACTTCACACACGCTGCAGTCTGAAACCAGAAAGCCTGTGCAGAGTAAAATGAAGAGTCTTTAGCAAAATCTGTTGTGTTTACTACAAGTTTTGATTCCTCAGCTTTCCTCAGCATCTGTACAGTTTAGAGTAATATGTACTGTTTAAAAGGTGTTTAGATATAATAAATTAGTCATTTAAAAGTGTAATTAAATGTAACCATATTTCTCATAGCAAATTGGCTTTTGTAGGCATCTCTTGCTAAATAAATCAAACCTACTGAGAAATCCATTGGCCTTTGACAGACAGATTTTTCAAAGTTTCTAACTTAGAACCAAATTCAATTAAAACAATACTTTACAACTTCTGTGGAAACCAGGCTACAAGTAATCAATTTTGGAGGGTTTCTGTTAGGAGTAGCCCTCATGAGATTTATTCAAAAACTCAGCTCCAGGCAGCCTTAGGAAGGGAGCTAGGAGATGCTTATAATGTATTCTTAAGTGAATTTTATTTTGGTAAGGGCTTTTGATTGACAATAGCATAAAACCATGTCGTGTGTGTGTGTGTGTGTGTGTGTGTGTGTGTGGTTTCTTTTTAAGGAAAAAATGTAGCTATTAATGGAAACAGCTTTTTGCGGTGCCCAAAAGAATATAGACTGCTTCAGCCTACCTGAACTCAAATCCCAGTTCAGCCATTTACCGGCACAATCGCCTATAAAATGGGAATGATAAAAGGCCTTCCTCGTATTGACATGGTGAGAATTGAATGAGTGCAGGGAATGCATGTGCCCAGTGCCTAGCAGAGTAAACTCCTAGCTGTTACCCGCTGCTTCCCCCAAAGTTATTCTCCTCAAAGGGCCACTTGAATGATCAGAAAAGATTTCTAGGATATTTCCCCTTTTTGTGACTACTGAGGGCTATAAGGATAGGTAGAGGTTCTGTTATGCTTGTTTTGATTTGAGCTTAACCATGAAAATCCAGACTTATCCTCTTAGAGCTTTACAAATAAACCCTTTTGTTATTTTATTATTTCAATATTTTGTTATTTCTCTGTCCTGCCTTTACCTGTGATTTAAGAAAAGCATGCCTCATGTGCATGCTACCCTGTAAGCAGAATCCCTAAAACCATCATTCCTTCAAATTAAGAATTCCCATAATCTAATATCAAGCACATAAGTCTCCTTAGCTTGTTTGAAAAAAAAAATGCTCATTGCATGCATCCATCAACATGGCAATTGCAGAGCATAATATTTGGAGAAAAACGAGGCAAAAATGCACTTAATAAAATTATAAGCATATGGTGAGGTTCTCAGACAAGTTATTTATGGTCTTGATTAACCTTGCAACATTTTTGCCATTTTCATCGGTTTTAACATAACACCATGAAAATATTGTCTTTACCTTTTAACATGGCAGGATTATCTTATCTCCTGTTCTTTTATTTAGCCTTCACTTCTCTCCCTCACCCCAAAATTTCTAGCAGCTTGATCACGGAAAAAGCAAAGCTTCTTGTGCTCAGTAGCAAATTTTAGGAGTTCCGTTTTCCTGACACTAGTGCATAGCAACAGCGCCACCAAAAGGACAAGGTCCTCAGTTTCTAGAATCTGTTCCATTTCTTTGCTCATCAGCATATCAGTGTTTTACAGGATGATTACTGGCTGCTACATCTCCAATATATAATATATTGGCATTTCAGGTTCTTTATAGTTAATAGGTCTTAATTTGTTCTGATCTACAGATTCATTAGCTTTGAAGCTCTCTTTGGGTGTAATGAATTTTCTTTTAATTCTCCTGAACCAGAAAGGTAACTAGTTGATTGTGCTAAGCTGCAGATAAATCAGATGAGCAGATGTTCTTACACCACTATAGACATGATATATGAAAACTGATATTAGAGTCAGTATAATACTGAAACGTGTGAGTTGTTCTGTGTTTAGTGACTATGAAAGTCACCCCGTGAAATAAACTTTCCTCATTCTCAGAGTATTATCTATTACACCTTGTTTGTCCCAAATTTAGCAATGTGGCAAAACTTATCTTAATTTTAAATATATAGAGACATGTCATAAGAATGAAATCAAATTAATTTAATTTATGGTAGGGAGGTCGTCATATAGATTTCAAATAAATATTTCAGACCACTTTTTTTTCTTGCTCCCATAACCTGAACTGAGTTTGTCACCCGTGTTTTCAAGAACTTCGGTATTCACCACTATAGGTGAGACTCTGAGCTGGATTAAGCACTACAATCTAGTAGAGAGTAAACTGTAATGAACTGGTTTCAAAGTCTGGTTCCACTGTTGTTGGTTGGCATGACCTTGGATTAACACCCATTGTCTGAATTTCCTCTTCTGTTAGATGGAGTTGTTAATCCTATCTGATTCACAGAATTGCTGTGAGGAACAAATGAGATAATATCTACCAAGGATTTAACACAGAGTATGTGCTGATTAAATGTCAACTAGTGCTATGATTATTGTCATAGTTATTTGATTATTGTCATATACCTACCTACAAAGTAGGTATTGGTTGCTCTTCTTCTATTGCTTCTTAAGGTATTCCCTGAATATGGCTGAATTCCAAAGTCAAAAAAAAAAAAAACAATTTTATTTTTTTTTACCTGGTGCTTTCATTAGATATTACCTACCTAGAAACAGTACAAATAGGTTTACTGCTGCATATATCTCGAAACAGATCTGTTTCCATTTGTGAATGGGGACATCTGGCTTCAGACAGCCCATCAATCCCCCCACCCCACCATGTTCAGAGAGCTTTTATAAACCATTAGGCACATTTCTCATTCATTCTGATTTGGGTCTAGGAAAACAGAAAGACCTCATCCAAGTGAAAGCTCTGTCTGCCCTTTCAAAGCATCAAAGCAAAGTTATGGGAACTGAAATACCTTGAAGGAGCTTTTTAGCACCATCATTCCCATAATCCCTTCCTGTCCCTGAGTCTGACTATGAAATTAGGAGACATATACAGAGAAAGGGAGTTGGGACCACCCAGTTTTGTACATACCCATTCCAAAAAAGACTTGCATCCTTCACTGACCGAGTCACTAGCAGCTAGGGCATGTAACTCTATACCACTTATGTGTGCAAGTTAGAATGCTCTGCCATGATACCCTGTTTTTAAATCAAAGTTGGTTATTGAATAAAATATTTGGGGGCAACAACTTGATAATTAGCTTTCAATACTAAAAATTAAATTAAGGAACCAGGTTCTTCAGACTGAGTTCCATTAACCTATGATTATTTTAAAGGGATTTTTTTTCTTTTACCTTTCTGTTCCCTCATGTTAACACTCTTTACTATTTTGAAACATTTCCACTGGTTATTTTTTTTATTTTCTAACACTTAGAAACCACTATAAATGTGAGTCTTTTGTTGACTGTGTTCTTTTTACTCCTTGCATCACCAGATCTGTTTTATATAGACATGAGCAAATGCGGAAAGGGTCAGTCTGTGTAGTCTGAGAGCTGAGTCACAAACAAGACAGGATTCTGTAACTATTTCTATTCTGCAGAGGATGGCGTAAGTCATTTGGAATAAGGGGGTTGGAGACAGGTGTAAATAGAATTAATGATGTAAAATTAAGAAAATGGAAATTTCCTGAATGCCAGAACTGTGATGTGTAAAGTTATGGAGATGGCCTCTGGAAGTGTATCGGCAGAGGCCCATTCACTGGAGGCGCGAGTATAGCTGAACTACTGGACGAATACCAATGAACATATTATTGGGAGTATTTCTGCACCAGTGTGAGATGCTCTAGAGAACCCATTAGACCCTTTGCTTGCTAATTCCTTTCTTGCTGTGAAATAATAAAGCCTAAATCATAAAACCAAATTTCACTTGCAAATTGCTGGAAGTCTTATTTCTCCAGTGAGATCAAATATGTCTTATGACATGTTTTTCCTTCCTCTGTTCTCCCAGCTGTTGTTTCTTATTACTGAAATGGTGATGCATTGATATCGGTTCAATTACCAAAGTATCTGAGTACATTTAAATTCATGGTGCATCACAGAGAGTCAGGCTAAGTGACTGTGATTATCAGACAGTGTGTTTGATTTAAATTAAAGGAACACTTCCAAGAGATTATTTATAGAGGAAGACAGTTTACTCTAAAGAATTCTCATGACCCACATCTTTAATATTTTAGGGCCCGTGAAAATAAGGAGTATGTGGAAAATAAGGAATATGTGCTCTATGTGTACAGGTACCATTGCTATACTGTTTTCCTCTGTTAGAGTCAGCTCTATAAGACCACATTATAGGTGGGAAAAGCTTAACACAAACCCTGTTGGGTAAGGAAGTAATGGAAATCCTTTGAATGCAATTCAAGAATGTATTCCAAATTCCACCTTGTAATAAAATGAGAATGTTAAAAAATGATTTTCATATTAGAATTCCATGGTTGTTAACCACATAAGAAAAATACTGCATGCTGATGTTCAAAAAGAGAATTTGTATCAGATATAATGGAATTTTCTCTCTTTATAAAACAAAGAAAAACAAATTCCTTTGGAGACAACAGTTGAAAGCTTTTTTGGGAATGTAGTTGTTTAGCGATGTTTTGAAATAGTAACATTTAAACATTTCTCGCAGAGGAAAAAGTTGAGATTTCACATTTTTGTTAGGTACTGGCACCATTTTTTTTCAGTTCACTTCATAATGCTTGGAGCTTTATTATACACTTGGGGAAATGACCACTTTGACCTAAGATTTACACGTGTAATTCCATTAGCGAAAATGCAAGTTATCCTTGCAGACTTACTAACGTTAAGACATAAGTATATAATCCTTATCTCTGGGTCTCTGAGTTATTGTTGATACCTGCTGTGCAGCATAGATCCATGAGATATTTTTTATTTTACTGTAGCTGGAAATATCAATGAATGTTAACAGTGTAAAAACTCCACAAGGAGGAAGAGTCCACACATGAACTTTAATTGCACCATAGATGCTATCTCATGCAGTGACCAACCATTAAAATAACCTGCTCTTTCTCAGGTGTGCCACCTTGTTCTTTGCTGGATCTCCCAAACAGCCTTTGGGTCTTCAGTAAAATAAACAGCCCCTTCTTGCAGATCATTCCTCAAGAAAAATGACAGCAATGAGAGTCTTAGGACAGTGAATGAAAAGAACATTATCCTGATTAGTACCTCACAAACATTTTGTCTTTTACAGCCTGTGAACCAGGGTCGCCACTATCAGAAAGAAATGAATCCACCTTCTCCTTCTAACCCCCGGTAAGAATCATTAATAAGCTAAGTGTCTTTTTTATTATTATTATTTTAAAAGACTGTGTATTTTTCTTCATGTCACAAAATTGTTTTCCAAAACTTCCAAAGAGCTTCCAAGTTCTTTTCCTTAGAAGGTTTAATTCAGGCTATTTTTCTTATTTAGACTACTATGATGTGGTGGTTAACAGTCTACCTAGGTTTATATGACACCTTTGCCTTTTCCTAGCTGTAGGACTTTGAACAAGCCATTTAACTCAGGGTCATGCAGGCATAATGCTCTTTTGGGATAATCATATGAATGAATACAAGAAAAACTCATAGCACAGTTTCTGGCACATGGCAAGCTTTCTTTAAGTGTTAATTTATTTCATATTCTATTTGCATAGATATTTTAATCAGTATGTGATGTTTAGTACATTTCACCATGAATTGTTTAGTATTATCGGATCCCTTTAAACTTATCACGATAGCTTATATTAGTTCAAAAGCCATTCTCTTTTTTCCAAAATTTCAAAAGCTGATCTCAAAATTATTTCATTATTTCAAAACTGTCATGGGATCCCTGGGTGGCGCAGCGGTTTGGCGCCTGCCTTTGGCCCAGAGCGCGATCCTGGAGACCCAGGATCAAATCCCACATCGGGCTCCCGGTGCATGGAGCCTGCTTCTCCCTCTGCCTATGTCTCTGCCTCTCTCTCTCTCTCTCTCTCTCTCTCTCTCTCTCTCTCTCTCTCTGTGACTATCATAAATAAATAAAAATTTAAAAAAAACTGTCACTAGCATTATGAATCATTTGTCAATATAGAAAAATTTTATCATTTTAAGCTCACTAAAGACAAGGAAATTGGAGTTTGTGTCTTGAAATATATGTCATATTATATGGTTTTCTAAAAAATAAATTCATTTATCAGCACAAATCAATATATTTTATTAACTATTTATTAAATGCTAGGAATTTATTAAAAATCAGTCCACCTTGAGCTCTATCTGCAGGATCTTAGTTATTAGAGTGCTTCTCATTGTCCAGCTTTCTCACCTGTACTGTGAATTATCCCATAAAATGGACAAGAATACCAGTGATAGTATTGTAGCTCTGACTCTAGCATGTCACTTCTTTTTTTTTTTAATATTTTATTTATTTGAGAGAGAGCACGAGCAAGGTGAGGGGCAGAGAGAGAGAGAGAAACAGACTCCCCACTGAGCTTGACCCCAGGACCTGAGCCACCCAGGCACCCCTAGAGTGTGATATTTGTGACAGTATCTGAATTAAGACTCATTGGTTGAACATATAAAAAACAACTTAGCTGGTCTTAAAAGAGAAAAAAGAGAGACAGAGACAGGAAGGATTTGTTAAATAAGAATATAGGGCTGATCAGAAAAGATGAATACTTATCATTTACATCAACATGGATGGAATGGAAGAGTATTATGCTGAGCAAAATAAGTCCGAGAAAGAGTTACCATATGGTTTCAATCATACATGGAATATAGGAAACAGCGCAGAGGATCAGAGGGGAAGGGAGGGAAAACTGAATAAGAAGTCAGAGAGGGAGACAAACCATGAGAGACTCTTAACTCTAGGAAACAAACTGAAGGTCACCAGAGGGGAGGTGGGTTGAGGGATAGAGTATTTGGGTGATGAGATTAAGGAGGGCATGTGATTTGATGAGCACTGGATCTTATGCCCAACTGATGAATTTTTGAACTCAAATTTAAAAAACATTTTTTAAATAAAAATTAAATATTAAAAATTTTAAAAATTTTTAAAAAAAAGAATACAGGGCTGTCCCCTGAAACCCAAGGGCATCCAGGCATATCCTCACTCCATCTCTACTTGCTTCTTCCTGTCTGTTCATTCTTCTCTCTAAGCCCCAGCTTTCTATTTCCAGTCACATATGGCTGTCTGACAGCTCTTGAGTTTATGTATTATAGTTCAAAGTACATGCCGAACTTGACAGGTTATGTCTGAATTCCAGTTCCTATTTTCCAGGAGAGAGAATGTGATTGGCTTAGGTTGGGCCGAGTATCCACTTTCGTTCCACTCAGCAATGAACAGCCAACAGAGCCACGTAAAACTAACATGACTGCCCAGGAAACCACCTACATGGTTTACAGGACTTTTAAGGGGGCCCAGAATGTTATGACATAGGTAGAGTATATGTTCTTTATTAGTAATCACTTCTTAGTATTCCTGGTCTATACACACAATCTGGTCATTATCTAGTAGGGGGAACTGCCACTATCATAAAAAAAAAATGAGTTCAAATTGAGTTTGTAATTTCAGAGTATATAAAAAGGTGTTTCAACATTCTTAAAATCAATTGTCTCTTGACATATAAATACATTTCTTACAATCTTTCAGCTCATAAACTCTTTTTATCATGTATGAGTAAACTTTTAAGGTAACTGAAAATCCAACTTTGGTCCAAATTATAACAAAATCGGTATTTATAATCTGAAACAAATGAATGTGATAGTTAAGATATATAGTTAAGATATGTTAGCCACCCAATTACTGTCAAATCAGCCTTTTGTTTCAATAAAAGGAGAAAGAGGACCTAATTCCCATCCTAATTCTGCTAGTAACCCAGTATCTGATCTCAGACATCACCAATAATTTGAACACCCTCATGTGTAAAGGAAAGGATTTGAGTCACATGCTCTCTCAGGTGACCTCTAGCTTCATGATTCTTTGATTTTATTGAGACTCATTATGAACTTTACATATGAAACCCAATTCCACCATCAGAAGTATTGTCCTACATAGAAAACAAATCTCATAATGTTGGATTAATTAATTAATGTTTAGATGTAGTACTATGTAACTTTAACTATCTCTTTTAATATTTGATTCCCAAAGATAGAATATGAGAAAATTCACCAGACAAATAGACATCATATTTTATTTGCCAATTAAATGTTCATTCATTTAGGGAAAATTAATTTACACTTTTACATAATAAAGTAAAAAGCCAATTTTCAAAGCAAAAATTAAAATGCTGTCAATCCCTTTTGCCAGCAGATTATCCACACAGTTTCTTAGAAAATTATTATTTAGCTGTTCAGAAAACTTGTGGATTATGTGGTTTGGCTCTTGGCTCCATAAATCCAGCAGCTTGAAAGAATTGGCAGAAAGACATTATTGGGCCATAAATAAAGACAATGATAAAATTATTAGGTCAGCAAAGATCATCATATAAAAATGGGATAAATTGAATCATATAATACATGTCAGTTAACCTAAAATTGAAAAGTGTGATTCTTTTAAGATTTGTATTTTTTATATTTCTTACAACTATCTCACATCTAGACTCTAAAACACAGTACGCTAAAATTTAAATTTAAAAGATACTGCTAATGAACGTGAAAAAACTATATAAGAGATGAAACTATAAGTCTCTAAGTCTACCCCTTTGATAAACAAGCATCTAACCTGAATTCTGGATTGAAAGTTCTGCGTGTGGGGGCTCTGAACAACACATGAGAGGCAGGTAGTCTCTTGGTTTCCTGAATTAAGTGTAATTGTGATCAGAGTAATCTGCATTGAAGTTGAGGACATGATGGGGTTGAGGACATATGTGGATGCAGATCCATCGAGAGAACATGCTGGTGCCCTGTGGGAGCAGAAGTGGCCACGTTATCTTCAGTGAAATATCTACAACTACTCCAGAGAACTAAGAACCTAAGATTTGTACCCACATTCATAGTCCTACCCATACTCATGCCCACACACATATATGTTTGGAGAGTCAGTTCTCAATTAGCTTAATTAATGTCACAGAGCAACCACTATCCCCAGAGTCTTCTGTTTACATTTTGCTCTGGAAAGATTTTTATCTCTGCAACATAATTACCTTCTTAGTTATATGTGTTTATGATTAAAGTTAAAGATAACATGCAATTCACAAAGCAGGCAAATTTGGATTTTGGAGTTGACTCCAGGATGCCAATAGCTAAAACACTGCATATATTCATAGATTATTTTCCTCAGAGTAAAAGCATCCACTTGCACTTATAGGGCAGTGCTTGACATTGGATGGAGATGGGATACAATGGTAATCATTTCCCGAGAAGTTTACAATCTAGGAATTGAAATCCATAGGGTTCACCTCATCATATCCCCTGGTGTCTAGATTTGCTACAAAGCCATTTCCCTTCACATCGTTAGGCATGAGTCTGATATTTCTTATTTTTGTGGAACATGCTGACTGATATTTCGGCAGCATCTCACATTCTGGGGCGCTTGCCTCCAGTGTCCACCCACTCTGCCTCTTGGGGCACTGACAGCCTCTATGACAAGGTGCAGAAATGGCTAACATAATCTAATACAATTTAGAGGCGTGTTGGGTAGGAGGAAACAATTTCACAGTTCATTCATGTTGAGAAATGTTTCCTAGCATGTAAACGTACATGCTGCCAAATAGAGCAAAATGGATGCTGTTTGCAGCCGTAAGTCATTTATTTGAAAATGCCATCTATTGGTTTGTGGGGTTTAGAGCTGTCCCTTAGGCACCTCCATTTATGTGTTTATGGAGATTCTTCAGAACAGCTCAAGATATTTTTATTCAGAAATGGGTTTTATAAAATAAGCTGTGATTACATTCTGGTTGTCTGTTCATATGGATGAAGTCGATAACCAGTCTTTCATTTCAAATGATGATTATACTTGCTATTTTTACAACTCATTGGAAAATTAGGGGGAAGAGGGAAGGCAGTCAAAGGCTCCGTCAGGTTCTAAATGTTTATGGAAATAAACAGTGGAGAAAACAATTCCCAAATGCCCAAACAGTAATGAATGGCATGGTTTTCTGAAGTGTTTGTTTTATGATTTATCACTTCTCTGTAGATTTTTCAAATGTCACCGCCGATTGCATGAAGGCTTGCATCCTTTGCAGCTTTGCCACATGTTTGTGTGATATAAACATACTTATAACTATAATTAGATGATAAAGCCCTGCAGACTTTGACAAGTGATTAATAACCACTGACCTCGGTTCACGCTGGCTCAG